GACATCCTTGTCCACTCGTTACGGTGACATTTATGGCTTGGCCGTATCCTATGTTGCCCTGCAAGAAATGCCTTTTGAAAACCTTTCTAACTTTTCCCTTTAGTACTGAAGTTCCCCTCATTTCCTTCTTCAGAGCCCTTCATTTCTGTATCATCTCTCCAGTGCACCTCTCCTCATCCATACTTAGGTCATCTCTCTGCCCATTGAAAGTGCTATCTGTTCTCTTATATGTGTGACATATTCTGTTCCCTCTGCGTATATGTCTCTGTTTTTTATTTGCATCTTGGTCCTGACTGCCTTCTGATTTGGTACTCCAAATCAAATGAACGTCTTTCCCCACTGTGGACATTGTTCTGTTCATTCTCAAACAAACCAACCTTCAGCCCCGTCTTCCTCCTGACTTCTCTTTCCTTGTAGCCACAGCTGTGATTGGTTTATCCCCTTTCACTCATTCACTCACTCATCCACCTTATAATCAGACTTTTTCTCCATAACACTCCCTGGTAGCCATCTGTGATTCACTTAGTTTGGGTCATAGTAGATGTTTTTTCTCACATTTCACTGAACCTTATTTTTTGGCACTTGATTGTCTTATATCAGAGCCCTTTTCTTGGACATTTTATTTTTCATTTGTTGTGACCTTACTCCTTTCCAACTTACTTGACAACTTGCCTGAGAGCCCTTCTTTATAGGAGTCTGAGAATCAGATGTGAGAGTCATTCTCGGATTTTCTTGCTCACTCATCCCTTTTATTGATCATTCAATCTGGCAGACATCGCCTCTTTCAGATCTTAGAAAGCCATCTTTCATTTCTGTCACTCTTTGACTTGGGTCAATGGTTCTTATTCAGGAGTGATTTTATCTCCTAGGGGACATTAGGAATGTCTGGAGATTTCCAGCAGTATCTGCAGACATTCATCTATCACGTTGCACTGTAATGGTTTGCACGTTGCTGTGATGCTGTAAGCTATACGACTGATATTTCGTATACCAGCAGAGTCATTCATTATGGACAGTTTTCAGTGGAGTTTCCAGATTTAGTCAGACTAAGAAGCAGAATTGGCCATCCACTTATGAAATAACAGGCTTTCAAAAGCTGTACAGATAATGGAAGAATATTAGTGGATATAGTGAAAGAAGATGAGTCCTACAAGTTGGAGGGCACTAAAATACCACTGAGGAAGAGCCACCTCTTTAAACGAAGAGTGGATGGGAGTGGAGTAAAGCTTTCACCCAGTAAAGGATCTACATTTGCTTGCTTGGCAGAACTCAAAATGAGGAGAAAGACCTGCAAACATACTTTAGTAGTTGGGACATAGAATGGACACAGTATGAATATAAGAAAATTAGAACTAACCAGAAATGAAATGGAACACATAACTAGTGATGTACAAGGCCTTAGTGAGTTGAGACAGACTATTACTGACTTTTAAAATTAGATAATCATATGATGGCAAGAATGACAATTTGAGGAGTAATGGTGTCACATTAATCATCAAAAAAGTACATTTCAAGATCTTATCTGAAGTACAGTGCTATAATAGAATACCATCCATACTCATACAAGGCAAACTTATTAATAAATTGTTATCCACATTTACATACCAGCCACTAAAGCAAAAGATGAAATAACTGAGGATTTCTGCCAACGTTTGCAGTTTGATTGAACATGCAGACAAGCGGTATTATTATTCAATGACTGGAATGCAAAAGTTCGAAATGAATAAATAGTAGTTGGAAGATATGGGCTGGGTGACAGAAGTGGAACAGTAGATTGCATTATAGAAATTTGTACATTGAATTATTTATTCCTTACAAATACTTTAAAAAACCATAAATGGCAACAATGCACTATTAAAGATGTCTGTGACAATTGAAGTGGTTAGCTGTGACAACTGAAGTTGTTGAGATTTCTTTTTATTTGGACTTAATAATAAACACCCTTGGTTGCAGCAGTAAAGAAATTAAATGATGTGTTGCAATGAATGAGCGGAAATCCAAAATATCTGTAAATGTTTATTAAAATTAATAAAATTTTAAAAAAGAAAGTACAAAGATTTAGGTAATGTCTTTAAAATAAACATTTTTTCTTCTGAAAAAAGTGATATGTTGTATACAAATGCTAAAGAGAAAGGATGTCAGTTTAAAGACTAAGGTATGCTTGATTGGAGCCTTGGTAATGGTGCAGGAGAGGGCAAGATTCAAAGTCCTATTCACAGGGTTGTTATGATTCATATTGAATTGATGACACCTACAACCACAACCTACACAGAAACCTCACCTTATACCACACGGGAGTCATATTGACTAAATCTGTGGAAAAACACCTTGGAGGGGCTCAGTATAAGCATTCAAAACAAGGTTTACGGTTGAACAGACCATTAACAACTCATGTTCAAACTGAAGGTGAAGGAAATTAAAACAAGTCAACAGGAACGAAGATACAAGTTTAGTCTACCCAATTGAATTTAAAAGCCATCTCAAGAAAGATTTGATGCATTGAACAATATTGACTGAAGATGAGAGGAGGTGTTGGATGACATCAAGAATATCATCCATGAATAAAGCCAAAGGTCATTAGGAAGACAAGAAAGAAAGAAAATAAACCCAAACAAACAGATCCTTTTAGGAAGAACCAGTCCTTAGAGAAAGACACCATGCTGGGAAAAGAGACATTGAAACTTGCGGTAGAACGGAAAGAAACCAGAACACACAGGGAAGGAATGCTGAAGTAAGAGAACGGAACAGAAGATTTCAAAGGGCAACTCAGGAAGACAAAGCAAGGGTATCATAACAAAATGTACAAAGCACTAGAGTTGAAAAATCAAGAGGGAAGAGCACTATCAACATTTCTCAAGCTGAAAGAAGAACAAATTCAAACCTCTAGTTGTAATACTGAAAGATTCTATGGACAATAATTTTATTGATGCAGGTAACATCAAAAGAAAATGGAAGGAGTATGCAGAAGACACAAAAAACAATTGGTTAACACTAGAACATTTCAAGAAGTGGCATATGCTTATGAACCAATGGTTCTGGGAAGAAATCCAGCTTGCATTTCAGGTACTGGCAACAAAATAAGGCTCCAGGAATTGATGGAATACAAATTGAGATGTTTCAAGAAACAGACACAGTGTTAGATATGCTCACTAGTCAATGCCAAGAAATTTGGAAGACAGCCATCTGACCAGCTAACAGGAAGAGACCCATACTTATTCACATTCCCCCAAACAGGTGATCCAACACAGTGTAGAAATTAATTAATAGTATCATTAATATCACATGCAAGTAACATCTTACTGCAGATTTTTCAGAAAAGTCTGGCATAATATATCAACAGGGACCTGGCAGAAAGGAAAACTAGATTTAGAAGAAGAAATATTTCCAGGGATATCATTGCTGGTGTCGGATGGATCTTGGCTGAAAGCAGAGAATACCAGAAAGATATTTATTTTTGTTTTATTGATGATGACAATAAGACATTTGTCTGTGTGGATCCATAACAAATTAGGGATAACATTGAGATGAATGGGAATCCAGAACACTTACTTGTGCTCATGTGAGCCATAGACACAGACCAGGAAACAGTTATCTGAACAGAATAATGGGACCATGCCTATTTTAAAATCAGAAAAGGTTATATTTATCTGCAGCACAGTCACAGTTATATTCTTTCTCTATATCTGATCTTATTGTGAGCAAATCATTCAAGAAGCTGAACTGTATGAAAAAGAATGTGGCATCAAGTTTAGAGAAACATCTGTCAACCCCTGCTTTGTGCAAATGGCACAACTTTGCTTACAGAAAGTGAAGAAGTTTTTACTGAAGAAGGTAAAAGACTAGAGCTTTCAAGATGGACTACCTATCAACATAAAAAAACCCCTCAAAATTCTTCACCTCTGGACCGTTAGGCAACCCTGTGATAAGTGGAGAAAAGTGTGAAGTTATCAGTGATTTCATTTTACTTAAATCCATAATCGGCAACCATGTTAGCAGTTGACAGGAAATCAAAGACGTGCATTGGGAAATCTGCTATCAAGGACTTCTCCAGTGTAATAGACAGCAAGGAAGTCATTTTATAAACTAAGATACACCGGCTCGAAGCCATGGTATTTCTCATGGTTGTTTCCTGTGCATCTGAAAGTTCAACCGTGAATACAGATGACTGAAGAACAATCTATGCCTTTGAATTGTTGGGGATGATTTAATATCTCATTGCCAAAAAAGCAAACACTGCCTTGTAACCATTATAACCATAGTTCTCCTTTGAGGCAAGAATGGTGAAAGTTCATCTCACATACTTTAGGTGTGTTAGGAGAAGCTAGTCCTTGGAAAAAGATATCATTCTGGGAAAGTTAGAGAATCAGTGGGAAAAAATATCCTCAATGAGATGGATTGACACAGTGATTGCAACAAATTAGCTTGAGCTTGATGGGGACCATGAAGGTGGTACACCATAGGACAAAGTTTAGATCTGTTGTTCATAGGATTGCTATGGGTCATGGTAGACTTTGTCTCAGCCTGATGGTTGCTACTATTGTTTAGTTTTAGACGGTAGAAGCCAGGGATATTGCCAATGAAAGCTATCAGATATTATCCAAGATATCTCCTTCCCTGACCCCTTAAGGTGACTCATATGTTTTATTCCTTATGTTCCTGTTAAACCATGTATTCTTCAGATACTGCACTTACTTATCTGCATGCCTGCCTAATCCCTAGGCTGTGACACTAGGGGAGAAGTCTCCCTTGTTTTATGTTCATCTCTTTGCATCAGGTTAATGCCATTAGTAAGTACTCAGCAGACGTTAATTCAATGAGGGATTATTATTTGATAGAGTGAACAAATAAATCTGTAATAAGTGTCTTTAAAAACGAACAATTAAACTACTCTTGAAATTACCCCAATTTTAAGATATTACTATAAAGAAATATTTTGCATATGTCCTAATTGTTCTACTTGTTAGTGAAAAATTTAATCCTGCTCTTATTTTGTCTCTTAGTTATTTGATGACATTGAATGTGAATTTCCTATATTTTTCCTTTACCTGATGATTGATGGTAAGTGAACTTCTAAAATTTAAGGTTTAAGATATAAATCATTTAAGGAAGATCCAAAATGAAATATGACTCCTTTCAGCCAGAAAAATAGATTGTACTTCTGTAGCATTCACTGCTTTGTATTTTTATATGTTGGTCCTCTGCTGACTGGGTGTTAAATAATTTAAAGAATTAAAAATATACTTTGAAGCATTTAAAAGTTATAGTAATATATTATTTGTATTTATAAGACGGAATTTTTTATTACTAGAAATTATGCATATCTACAGTACTTACATTTAGGAATAAATATTCACATTTCTGAATAGAGAAATTTCTAATGATTAAAATTTAGTTTTTAGCTCTAAGTCCTAGCATGACCTTCTAAGATCAATTTTTGTTAATATATTTGCATTACTTTTTCCATTTGAATGTGGTAATTTACGTAGAAAAGAACTGAAATAACCACAGTAAGGCGCATAGATTTTAAGACAGTATTTTTATGATATTTATTAAATCAGCTGCTACTTAATTTTATATTTTAGGAGTTTTTAGAGGCAATCCCAAACAAACAAAGGAATATAACGATCTTTTGACGCTGGTACTTCATCAGACCACAGAAGGTATCAAGAAAGTTTTTTTTAAATATTTCCTTGATTTTCCTACAAAATATTAACATTGGTCTTTTTTCAAAGCGTAGCAATTCAGATTAAATTGATAGAATGAATGCAAACTCAAATGAAATGATAGTAATTTGCAGTATTGTATTATAATAATTATGCTTTTAAGTTCACAGTGCAAGACAAAGATGATGATGAATTTAGGTGGCCATTGCTTTAAAAATGTCAGTGTTGTTTTCAGGTATCTGTAGATTCTCTGCTAACAATTACCTAATTCAGTCCCTGAAGTATATTGAACCAAGTGATAAAGTGGTTGCTTTTTATTCAAGACATCAAATGTAATATGCTCAGAGGGCCATCTTAAAAGAGGCTCTGCCCTACTTGAAAGGTAATTCTATTGTTTAAACATTGTCATCTTTTCAGGACTTGATTTTAGAGTCCATGGTATATTATTATTATTTTGAATATATCTTTTATACATATGTATATGTCATTGTTGATTGCTCTCAAGTCAGAACTGAGTCATAGCTATCTCACCAGCAGATTTCAGAGGATGCAATTCCTCATCTTTCTCCTGCCACAGTGACTGTGTGGCGACGGGTCAGGTGTTGTAAGAGATAGTAAAGTTTGCTTTTGATAAGGCAAGGTTTGAGACCATTGTTAATAGTGTTGGTACGAGTTTTACTTGACTCAATGGTATATAAAAACAACAGTATAGTGTAACAATTTTAGTTTTCATCATTTTCCATTAATGATGTTCTTTTTAGAAATTTTAAGCACGAGTGTTATTATTGATATATGAAGAAAATTGAAATTGTAGGAAAACTTACATATTTGAGTTGTGGTGTTGGAGAAGATTTCTGACTATCCTCTGGATAGCCAAAAGAAAGTCAAGTCAGAGTACTCCTTGGCGACAGGGATGGTGAAGCTTCATCTCACATACCTTGGGCATGTTGCAAGGAGAGGCTATGCCTTGGAGACACCATGCATGGAAAGGTAGAAGGATGGTAAAGGAGAGGAAGACCTCCAACCAGTGATTGCTACAGTGGGCTTGAGTGTGTCAGCAAGAACGAGAGTGGCACAGACTAGGACAGGGTTCAGGTCTGTTGTTACAGGGTCGCTTTGACTTGTACTTGACAGCACCTAACAGCAACAACAACATACAATTTTATTAGGAAAATAAAGTTTTATCTAAGCTGATGTTTCAAAAAGTAGAATTCTATCTACTGAAATGTCTCCTTTTCACCCCTTCATGTCATATGCATAGATTGTGCTCCTTAAATAACATTTTTCATTTCTGTCAAGGAAACATTTTTAATTGGCTTGTCAGAAAGGACCCTGGTGGTGTGGTGTTTAAGCACTTGACTGTTAATTAAAAGGTGGTTAGTTCACACTCACTAGCCAATTCAAAGGATCGTATGCAGCAGCCCACTTCTGTAAAAATGTATTGCTGTGGAAACCCTATGGGGCAGTTTTGTTCTGTCCTCAAAAAGAGTCATAACAAAGTCACAGGTTTAATAGGAGATTGGATAAATTAGTATTTTTTTTTCTTTTCCCAAGATAGTAAATGTAATAATGGTCTTAATGTCTCAGTGAGTCAGGATTATAATTTTTCATGTATAAGTACGCATTATGTCATCTGTGTGACTTCAACACATTGCACATTATAGAAATACTGTCTGCTATAAATCTAAACATGCATTGCAAGTTCACTTGCTATGTACGTGAGAGCTGAGCAAGGAATAAGGATGATGGAATTGATGCCTTTGAGCTCTGTTGTTGGAGAAGAGTATTGACTATCTCACGGACTGCCAAAAAGCCAAACAGATGTGTCTTGGGAAGAGTATATCCAGAGTGCTCCTTGGACACAAGGATGGTAAAACTTTCTCACCTATTTTGGGCATGTTGCTAGGAAATAGGAAAGGCTATTCTTTGAAAAGGGATATCATGCTTAGAAAGGCTTAGTGAAAGAGAAGACCCTCAATGAGATGGATTGAAACAGTGACTGTAACAATAGGCTTATGTGTGTCAGTAATGAATAGAATGGCACAGGATAAGTCAGAACTCTTGTTTGTAGGGTGACTAAAGTAGTTCTCAACTCATTGGCTCTGAAAGTTGGTTTAGATTTGGGTTTTCCCCCCTTTAAATACCATCTTCCATGGCTCCAAATACTTGTCAATGCATTGCTCTATTTTGAATGTTTTAAAACTTTATTATGTATACATTATTGGCTGAAACATGATGTATGGTGTCACATGCATGCTTTAATTTCAAGAAATGTTTCTCATACTTTTCATTATTTTCTAACAGGAGCTAAAAATATTCAGTGTTCTCGTCATGGTTTATCAAGTGTACTTGTACAAACAAGTGCTCTTGTACAAACTGTTTTCTTTTCTAAACATGGGAAGTTTTCGAAATGATAATTTGAAGAGGATACTAACTTGTTACTTATTTTTTTTTTAACTCAACAGGATATCCTGTTGTGCCAAAGTACTATTATGTGCCTGCTGACTTTGTTGAATTTGAAAAATATAACCCTGGTAGTCAAAAGAGATTTCCAAGTAACTGTGGCCGTGATGGAAAACTGTTTCTTTGGGGACAAGCCCTTTATGTTATTGCAAAACTCCTGGGTAAGTTTTATTGGATGGTTGGAAATAAATATGTCCTTAACTACAATGCCCATGTTGTCCCTGCGCTCTCCCCACTTCCTCCCTGTGATTCTTATTTTCCTGAATGCTTGTGTCTTCCCCCTTCCCACTTTTGGGGCATAGGATGCTCTTTTCATTTCCTTTGCTTGGTTATTCTACGGAATCAGTTCTTCTTGTGTGTTCCTTGGAGATTTGTCTGTTGTTTGGCTAATAGGGATCCACATGGTGAGTTGTGTTCCATGTTTGGAGAATGATTAAGTTCTGTCAGTTTCTAGCTGACCATAAGCCTGGTCATTTTTCTGTTACTGCATTTTGTTCCACATTTTTTGCCCACTCTCCCCAGGACCTTTTACTGTGATCCTGTTAGAGTGATGAGCTGTGGTGACCAGGCACCAACTAATTCTGGTCTGAGGGTCATGGCAGTTGTTGTCGTGGAGGTTTACATGGTCCATTAGCTCTTGGACTCATTGCTTCTATACATCTTTTATTCTCTCTTGCTATGGACAGAGAGAGATCAGTGGTTGTATCTTAGATAACTCTTTGCAAACACCCCAGTTCATACTCACTTAAATAAGATATAGAACATCATGCTATGCTGCTTGACGTTGCTGTCCCCCAAGTCTGTAGTCCCTAGGACTCAGGGCTTTTCTAATGAATATCTAGTCTTTCTTTTTTACAGCAGGATATGTATTTGTGGATTCATGGTTTCTAATGCACTTTTTTGCATGTTATTTACTGACTTTGTAGAAGTTCAACTCAATTTCAAGAGAAATTGACCCTGTCTTTTAAGACAGTCCTCCAGTATTCCTTGTTCATGAAATAGAAATGGCAACATGACCTGGATTATTTCTATTCATCTTATGTTTTGAATGAGAAAATGCCATCTTTCAGCAGGTCATTCAAGACTTGCTAATATTTTTTATTAAGATAAGTCTGAGGCCTTTTTTACTGTTTTATATTTTTCTTTTTAAAAATTTTATTATTTTTGTGTGTGTGTACTGTAATCAGATCTGACTGATACAGGAGGAGATTGTCCCTCCTTCTCGAGCAGAGCATCTGGTGGATTTGAACCGCGTACCTCTGGGATTGCAGTGCATCTTCTTGCCACTAGGCCACCAGAGCTCCCTTGTTTTATATTTTTCTCTTCTTTAAAAGCTGAATTTGTATGTTGTTGTTGTT